CTGAGCCACTATCCTCACGTGTGCCAAGTCCATGCATTCATCGAGTAGGTCCAGCTTCACCAGCAATGCCTTGATATTTGCTTACTCATTTGCTCGGGAAAATCGTAAGGTTGGTTCTCATACTTCCACCGGGATCAGATCTTCCGCACCGTATATGAGAGAGAGAGGCGTCTCTCCCATGCTCAACTTTGTCATTGTCCGGTACGCCCATAGCACACCCGGTAACTCTTCGGGTCAGTTGCCTTTAGCAGCTTCTAACCTCTTTTTGAGGTTTTGGATAATCACTTTATTGGTTGACTCCGCTTGTCCATTAGTGCTTGGATGGTATGGTGAGGATGTAATCCTCTTGATTTTCAAATCTTAGAGAAATTTTGTGACTTTGGAGTCTATGTGCTATGGTCCGTTATCGCAGGCAATCTCCTTCGGTATTCCAAATTGGCAGATTTTGTGTTCCCATAGGGGATCGATCAACTTCGCTCACCGATCTTTTGGTAAGGACCTGCTTCAACCCATTTAGTGAAGTAATTGGTTAAATTAAAAGGAATATTACCTTTCCGGGGCCTGGTAGTAATGGACCAACTATATCTATCCCCATTTCATGAACGGTCGTGGGGGCAGTACCGAATGCAAGAGTTCTACTGGTTGGTGCACCAACTGTGCATAGCGCTGGCATTGGTCGCATTTCTTAACGAACGCTTTTGCGTCTTGTTCCATCCAGGGGCAGTAGTATCCTGCCATAACCAGCTTTAGTACCAATGAATATACACCGGAATGGTTTCCGCAAATTCCTTCATTGAGTTCTCTCATCACGTAATCCGCCTCTAAGGCTCCTAGACATCGGGCCAATGGTTCTTGGTAAGATCTCCTATACAATTTTCCGCACATAAGGTAGTAACATGCCGCTTTGATGCGTAGTGCCTGCGACGCCTTTGGGTCTTCGGGCAACTTGCCAAGTCGAAGGTATTCGACAAACTCATTCCTCCAGTCCCAGACTATGTTGGTTGTTTTCACTTCACAATAGTCGTCCATATCCAGCACCGAATTCATAAGTTGAACGATAGTATCGGAGTCAGATCCTTTCATCTCCGTGTACGACCACAAATTGGCTAATGCATCAGCTTCTACGTTCTCTTCTCTCGGAATGTGTGTGATCGACCACTCCCTGAACCGTGCAAGCAATGTTTGAACTTTAATCACATATTGTTGCATGCGTTCCTCCTTTGTGTAAAAACTCCCAGACACTTAGTTTACAACCAGCTGAGAATCACATTTAATCTTTATGACCTCAGAGCCAAGTTCCTGGACCTGTTCGAGTCCTGCAACGAAAGCCACATACTCGGCTTCATTGTTAGTTAACGGAACAGTCTTAGTGGGCTGCCTCAGGGTTTACCCCGAGGGCGTGATTATAACCACCCCGAGTCTGGACCCTTATACATTGGAAGCTTCATCCGTAAACAAGGTCCATACTCCTAATGTCATTTCTGACACCAGCACCGCTTCTTTAGCATCTAGGGGCATTAACCCGGGACTAAAATCGGCCACAGAGTCGGCCAAAACCTGTGACTTGATTGCACTCCTGGGTTTATACTCAATGTCAAATTTACTAATATTGACTGCCCATTTAGCCAACCGGCCTGACAACTCAGTCTTGTGAAGAACATTCCGCAAATCAAAAGTTGTTACCAAGGCAATCGGGTGGCACTAAAAATAAGGCCTAAGCTTTCGAGGGACGACTACGAGAACTAAGGCCAACTTTTTGACGTGCGGATAGCGAGTCTCCACTCCTGACAAAATTTTACTAACATAATAGATAAAAATTGCGTACCTTCGTCCTCTCAGACTAAAATGGCACTTACCGCTACTTTTGAGACCGCTAGATATACTAGTAATTGTTCACCTTCCCCGAATTTTGATAATAGCGGGGGGCTTGATAGGTAGCGTTTCAGGTCTTTCAAGGCCTGCTAGCATTCTGGAGTCCATTTGAAATTGTTCTTTTTCTTCAAAAGTGAGAAGAAGTGGTGACATTTTTTCGAGGATCGGGAGATAAACCTGCTTAAAGCGGCCAATCTTCCGGTTAGTCTCTATACTTCTTTTACACTCGTTAGGTGGTCCGGGATATTTTCGATGGCTTTAATTTTGTCGGGATTCACCTCGATCCCTCGCTGTCAGACCAAGAATCCCAAGAACTTACTGGAGACAACCACGAAACGTGAATTTTTTTGGGTTGAGCTTCATGTTATGCTTCCTCAAGATATCAAATGTTTCTTGGAGGTGTTTCAAATGATCACCTGCAGTCAAAGACTTGACTAACATGTCATCAATATATACTTCCATCATTTTGCCTTTTTGCTTTTCGAACATCCTGTTCACGAGCCTCTAGTAAGTGGCTCTGGTGTTTTTAAGCCCAAATGGCATCACATTATAGCAATATGTGCTAAAGTTCGTTATGAACGAAGTTTTTTCCTGATCGTCCGGTTCATCTTGATTTGATTGTACTCGGAATAAGCATCGAGGAAACTCATTAACTCATGCCCGGCCATTGCATCAATCATTTGATCAATGTTTGGCAGTGGGAATGATCCTTTAGGGCACGCCTTACTTAAGTCCTTCTAATCTACGCACAGCTAGACAGATTATTGTATTCGACTGTATTTGACTGTATTCATGGCGTGAAACAGGGGATTATAGCTAGATAGATTATTGTATTCAACTGTATTCGATTGTATTCACGATATGTATTTGTGAATACAGTAACGTAAATAGCGCAATTCATGGTCTATTCAGCTGTTTTTAAACGGAAAGTGAATCAATTAACATAATAGACTCCTAATATAACTCAAACTCAATTATAACACACAAAATTTGTATTTGAATACATATATACATCTGAATACATAAATTATATTAATTAAAAAAATATATGAATATAGCGAGACAGCGAATACAATGAAATACATGGAATACAGCGGGATACATTGAAATACAATGGAAAAAAAAGACAATGAATACAATGAAATACATAGAATACAACGAGATACATTGAAATACAATGGAAAAAAAGGGTAACAGACTCTTCAAGTTGCTCAGCCCCGAACTCCATCGTCTTTGTTCAAGAACAACCCTAATGTCGTCTTGTCAAGAGGGCCGCGATTCTGACTCGAAACTCTCAAAATTTGGCGCAAACACGAAAGAAATTCCTTATTTTCAATAACATATTGTCTTCTTTTGTTAGTAATTGCGAATTTGGTAGATGAAGAAAAGCAGCAATGGAGGTGGTGAGAGGCAAGAGTTGCAGTGGCCATGTCCAGATTTCATGGCAAAGGAATGGCCATCGGAATGGGGTGGATCTTTCTCTCTAGGGCTTGATTTCGACATTGATTCAGAGCCCCAACCCACTGACAATGAAAATTTTGCGAGACAATGGAGATGAATCAGTGGAGAATAGTGGTTGTATTCATGGGAAAGACTGGCGTTGAGAGAGAGAGAGGGGGTGGAGAAAAATCTGAAAGAATGAGAGAGAAAAATAATACAAAGAGTATTTTATGGCTTAAGGGTAGGAGGTAACCATAAATAGATTTTTGGCTACAAAAATCAAAAGGTAGCTATGGAATATAATTTTTTAAAAGGGTATTTATTTAAAATAAATAAGGTATCAACCTTTGCTATAGGAGGTAAAAATTTCTTTAAAAAATCAAAAAGTGATATTTTGGGCCGAAAAAAGATCTAGAGCTAGTTTTGGGATTTGGGAATTTTATTTTCAAAATCTACCAAAACACGGATAAAATCTATAAACAAACATGTTTTGTCAATTTTTTTTTTTGAAAAAACATGGCAAAATCTATGGCCAAACAGGGGCTTATAGCCTGCTTGTACAAGCTTTTTTTGGGTCAAAAGTGCAAAATTTGAGGTGTTTGGCCAACCTTTTAGAAGGAAAAAAAAAAGTGCTTTTGAGGAGAAGCAGAAGCAGTTTCTGAGAAGAAGAAAAATGTAGCTTCTCTCCAAAAGCACTTTTCTGAGAAGCGCTTTTGAGAAAAATACACTTAGAAACAGTTTTCAACGGCTTGGCCAAACATTAATTACTGCTCAAAAGTGCTTTTAAAATTAATTAGCCAAACACAAATGGATTCTCACCAAAAGTAAAAAGTACTTTTGGGAAAATATACTTCTCAAAATAAGCAGATTTTAGAAGTTTGGCCAAACAGGCTATAAGCCTTTTTCACTGTACCAAAAAAACTACTCCCTCTGTTTTAATTTGTGTGAGCCTATTTGACTTAGCACGGAGTTTAAGAAGAAAGAGAAAACTTTTGAATTTGTGGTATAAAATGAAGCACATATATTCATAATGGAAAGGTAATTTGTGGTAATTTACCTTTACTGCATAAAGGTAAATTATTTCCAAATATGGAAAGAAGTCATTCTTTTTGGCATTGACTAAAACGAAAATAAATTCGGATAAATGAAAACGGAGAAAGTATAAGAATAATATAAAATATTTTTACACTGTCAATACATGTAAGTTAACTCCTAGAAAATTACATACATTACCATAGTCCATAATATATAAATCTGTTTCCTCTTTCATCAAATCACGTTACTTATTCGAGAGAGTCAAAGAAATCTGCATATGCATGATAACTAGATAATTATATCGAGCAGTACTTATCTAGCCTAATTATATAACAACGTGAATGAACTAAAATCATGGTTGGACATTAAAATAGTCTGAAAATCGCATAGTTTGACAAAGTCAATACAACCCACCAGTATTGAGGTGCAATGTTAAATACTTTTTTTATCCTTAATCAATGATTTCATATTTGAGATTTAAAATATGAAGTGATATTTGTTAAGAAATACTTTATTCCCAATATGATATTTTCCGGCTCGAATTCATATCTAATGAGACCCCGATGCAATGGGACGCTGAGTGGGAAAAAAAAAATAAAAAATAAAAGTCAATATAAGTATTCCTCTCTCTTGCATAAGTGAGTCGACAGTCATCCTTTCCTTCTTTGTTTCTCTCACGCGGCAATGGGGTCAAAGCCATCCACCTCATTTTGTCATTCCTCTGCCTGCTACCTCTTCTCTTCACGACTACTTATATAAAAATTCACTAATTGATTGAACCATTCGTCCCTCGTATACTTATTCCATTTATTCTTCTTTGCACTTTTCTCTTATGTCACGGCAATAAATTGCCTGCAGCATTTATTGTGTTCGATTATTAATTTCGACAAAATAGCTCATCTTTTTTGTTGGTTTTATTATTATTTCTCTCTTATAAGTACTTTATAAGGCAATCTTAAGGAAGAAGTTTGAGGTTTTTTTTTAAAGACGGCGAAACAGAAAAGATGGCTGGTGGTGGAGGTGGAAGATCGTTGGAGCAAACGCCGACGTGGGCAGTTGCCGCAGTTTGTTTTGTGTTAGTTGCAATTTCCATTGTCATAGAACACATCATCCATCTAATTGGAAAGGTATACTTTGTCATTGCAATATTTCAGAATAAAATGTCATAAATCTTTACACTTCTTCACTCCTTTTATTTCTTTTTTCTATTGCAGTGGTTCAAGTCTAAAAATAAAAGAGCCTTGTTTGAAGCACTTGAAAAGATCAAAGCAGGTTCTTTCCTTCAAATTTTAGCCTATTTGTAACTGTGATCAGTGACAGATTCAAAATTCAAATACCATGGTTTCTGAAATGCATATCTAGCTCTATCTTTACGACTATATCCATTTTATGCTAATTTTCAAGTTAATTAACCTTAATTCCCTTGTTTTTTTTTTTTTTTTTTTTTTGAAGAGCTAATGCTGCTGGGATTCATATCATTGCTGCTAACAGTAGGACAAAGTCCAATTTCCAACATATGTGTATCTGAGAAAATTGGAAATTCATGGCATCCATGTAGCAAGCAGAAAGAAGAAGACATAATGAAGGGTGAAGACATTAATTCAGAAGACTCATCTGAGCAACACCGCCGGAGACTTCTTATGGCTGCTGCCGCCGCCGGCGTTCCGCGAATTTTGGCTGGTGGTGGAGAGGACAAATGCGCAGCCAAGGCATGACTTTTTTGTTGTTAAGTTTCCTTTTTGTTTTTTCATTCTAGTTACCAACTTTGAACAATTTAAAACATATAAGAAAAATCTTGAATGATTAAGCATATTCAATCATTCGTACAAGAAATAAATGAAAATCTCTTCTTTTTTTTTTTTTTTATAAGAAAATTTCTTCCGGGATGTTTTTCTTTTAAAAATTCAAATTACGTTCACTGGTAGAATGAAAAAGAGATTATACTATCAATATAGCTTAACTTGTTATATGTAGTTAATAAGTAACTTATTATTCTTTTCTGATTATTAATTAATATTTATAATAAATAAAAAAGTTACTTGTAAAAAAATGCACAACTTGTTTACTTGAACAGAACATAAATTCTTTCTACTTTATTTTTTTTTCAGGGAAAAGTACCATTTGTGTCTGCCGATGGTATTCATCAACTACACATTTTCATCTTTGTGCTGGCTGTTTTTCACGTTCTCTATTGTATTCTCACTTTGGCTTTGGGAAATGCTAAGGTACATAATTAGTATTTACATTTTTTTTAATATCGTAAGCCTTAAGAAATGTCTCTCTCAAATTTGTTTGACTTATTTTTTCTTTTCTTTCTGAATTTGTTTAATTTTCAGATGAGAAGTTGGAAGTCATGGGAAAACGAAACTAAAACAGCTGAATACCAATTTACTCACGGTAAAAGAAAAACCAAATTCTTTTTAATAGTCATATGTGAATAGAAAATATTTTATGTCTTTTTCACGTACATTTAGAAAATTAAAAGATTCTAGAAAAAGTTAAATCTGACATTGACATTATCTTACATGAATGACAGATCCTGAGAGGTTTCGGTTTACAAGAGAGACATCATTTGGGAGAAGGCACTTGAGTTTTTGGACCAAAAATCCTGTCCTACTTTGGATTGTAAGCATACTAGTAATCGTACCCGCGCGATGCGCGGTCAATATTAAAAAAATATTTGTCATTTTGTTAATTTTTCGATGTTACATTTGGAATTATCACAATTATTTGATTATCCTATTCTATATAAATAGAATAGATATTGTCTAAATTTTAATAAATAAAATCTCCATTAAATTAAGGGGACTTATATAGTTATCAAATAATTTTTTTGTTATGTATTTTTATTTATTATATTATCCAATATTTAGTATAATTATATTGTTAATAGAAATTATGACACTTGTCATTATAACATTTCTTTGCCTCTCCTATATATATATATATATATATATATATATATATAGATTTTTTGACTCTCCTATTATATATATTATATATTATATATTATACATATATTATATTTTATTATATATTATATATATAAATTTTCGTTTTTATTTTAAAATAATTTTAAAACTCCAATTTGAAACTACTTCCCGATTTGAATTAGTAATTCATTATTTTATTTAATTTTGTTTTTTATTTTAAAATTATTTTTAAACTTCAACTTGAAACTACTTCCCGATTTGAATGGGTAGTTTTTCTTCTCTTTTTTTGTTTTTTTATTGGTAATTTTTTTTTTTTGCTTTTTATTTTAAAATAATTTAAAAACTCAAACTTGAAACTACTCCCACCCAATTTGATGTGTAGTTATTTTTTATATATTTATTTTTTGTTGTTTTTTATCATATTTAATTATACGATATCTATATTTATTAATCCAAATAAAGTAATCAATTACTATATATATATATATATATGGTAGTTTTTTATTTTATTTTATTATTTTCGTTTTTTATATGTATATTATATATAAATAGATTTTTCGTTTTTTTATTTCAAAACAATTTTAAAACTCCAATTTGAAACTACTCCCCAATTTGAATTGGTAATTCTATTTATTTTTTTTAATTTCGTTTTTTTATTTTAAAAGTCCAACTTGAAACTACTTCCCAATTTGAATGGGTAGTTTTTCTTCTCTTTTTTCGTTTTTTTATAGGTAAATTTTTTTTTTAAAATAATTTAAAAAACTCAACTTGAAACCGCTCCCATGAAATTTAAATGGGTAGTTATTTTTTATAATTTATTTTTCGTTTTTTAATTATATTTAATTATAATATATCTATATTTATTAATCCAAATAAAGTAACCAATATATATATATATATATATATATATATATATGGTAGTTTTTTTATTTTATTTTATTATTTTCATTTTTTTATATGTATATATAAATAGATTTTTCGTTTTTTTTAATTTAAAATAATTTTAAAACTCCAATTTGAAACTATTCCCCGATTTGAATTGGTAATTCATTATTTTTTTTTTAATTTTGTTTTTATTTTAAAATTATTTTAAAACTCCAACTTGAAACTACTTCTCGATTTGAATGGGCAATTTTTCTTCTCTTTTTTCCTTTTTTTATAGGTTAATTTTTTTTTTTTAATTTTAAAATAATTTAAAAACTCAAACTTGAAACTGCTCCCACCCAATTTGAATGCGTAGTTATTTTTTATATATTTATTTTTTGTAGTTTTTTTATTATATTTAATTATAAGATATCTATATTTGTTAAATCCAAATAAAGTAACCAATTAATATATATATATATATATATATATATATATATATATATATATATATATAATATATATATATGTTAGTTTTTTTATTTTATTTTATTATTTTCGTTTTTATATGTATATTATATATAAATAGATTTTTCATTTTTTTAATTTTAAAATAATTTTAAAACTCCAATTTGAAACTACTCCCCAATTTGAATTGGTAATTCATTATTTTTTTTTAATTTCGTTTTTTATTTTAAAATATTTAAAAACTCAAACTTGAAACTACTCCCACCAATTTGAATGGGTAGTTATTTTTTATATATTTATTTTTCGTTTTTATTATGATTTAACTTAATATGATATCTATATTTATTAATCCAAATAAAGTAACCAACTAATATATATGGTAGTTTTTTATTGTATTTTATTGTTTTCTTTTTTGATATGTATTTAAATTCAAAAATAAGTAACCAATAACTAATTATAAACTAAATAAATAATTAGTAACCAATTATGCCATGTGGCATTTTTTTAGGCTGCCACTTGGCTTAAGGAGAGGGTTTTTTCCTCTCCTTTTAATAATATATAGATTTTAATCTCATTTTTTTTTTTTTTGAGTTTAACTTCTTAATTATACGTTAACAATGGATAGAAAAAGTTTCATGCCTAAAAGGATAACAACGGTTAACAAATCAAATGAGTAACGATAATGAAATATTCTTTACAATATTAGAGTATATTAATTATATCCTTTTTGGGGAAATACACGATTATATTACACATGAATATATATATATATATA